GCCCACACCGCCGGCCCTGGCGGCTCCGGCCGAGCACTGCCGGCCCCAGCGGCTCCGGCCCCCGGCCGAGCACTGCTGGTCCCTCCCTCCCTATTTTCCTGGACATGTCCGCTTTTTGGGATTTCCTCCCGGATGGGGATTTGAGGCCCAAAAAGCCGGACATGTCTGAGAAAATCCGGACGTATGGTAACCCTATGACAGACTATACGTGGTGAGCTATAAAGCAGCTGAACTGGGAGCCTCCCCATTCCCGGCGGGCTGGCTCTCCATGGGGCACATGCAGTGATGTGAAAGGAAATTGACGGGAACGAGAGTTTGGTCAGCAATGGAAAGCTTGGCTCCTGCCCAGTATCACAATGCCACTGAGGGCCCGGGGGCAGCACTGCTGGGGTGTATGTGTATAACTGGGTGGGACTGTGGCTGGGGACTGCATGTGACTCCAGCAGGTGCACTGAAAACCTGTGGCATCCCAATAATGTGGGGTGGCCAGGGGGATAGCGGAAGAGCTGGACCCATCTGGGGCCTGACCCACATCCCCATTGAATTTAGTAATTCACAGAACTTTGGATCAGGCCCTTGGAGGGTGGTGGGGGTCTGTATTGTTATCAGAAGTCCTGGCTACACTTCTCTTTCATTAGAACAACCTTGGTAAAGCTGCCCCCGCTCTAACATCAAGGAGACCCTGCTATGTTTTCGCTGTGAGCCTTGGTTGATAAAATATGGTTCCATCCTGCCTGTCCCGGATTTCTCCCCTTCTGCTGGCTGTGAGAGTGGGAAATGAGATTGCTTCCCATGGGAAAACACCAGAAGCCCCCTCCCTTACATTATGGCAGGGAATGATGGGCAGTTAATCAGCTGTCTGTCTGAGCTCCCGGCCTTGGACTGTGCTGCCCACACAGATCCGATTGCAGGACTAGGACTCTGCACAGAGGCAGGGCCAGGGTTCACCTGCACGGATCCGATGGCAGGATCAATGTCATAGTTCCTTCCTCCAGGAGATGGGGGAGGAAGTTAATACAGAAGCAGCCTGCCCACTCTCCTTTTCATAAAGGAACATTCCCGGGGGCCTCTCTGAATGGAAACATTTGTCATGGTTCTTTGGTATTGATGTACCAGGGATCCATGCCAACTGTTCTGAAGGGAAGGTTGTTAGGCAGCTGGTTGTCCAGGGTTTAGCAGGGATAACAGTATTATTGCAAACCCAAAGAGCTAACCACTCCACAGCCCCATCTGGAGGCATGGCCCAGCCTCAGGTGCTGGCTCCAGGGCACAGCAGGTTGCACCCCTCCATTCCTTTGCTTCTTTTCCTTTGTTTCCTCTTTCTGATGTTTAAATTCAAGGCACAAACCTGTCTTGAGGCAGCATCGGCAGGGGGCATTCAGACCCAGGAGGGCCAGGCAGGGGATGGTTCCTATGCACCAGGCTGGCACCCGCACCCACAGATTGGGGTTCAGAACCTACTGAGGGCAGCAGCAAAACCCGCAGGCTCCACCTGTGGGCTGAGGCCAGGGTGAGCTTGGTGCAGCCTGGGCAGTGGAGGTTTGCTCTGGAGCTGCTGGGAGCAGGCTCTGCCCCAGCTGACTCTGGCTCAGGCCCATGGGACTTCCCAGCACCCAAGAATGGGTGGAGCAAAAGGGAATCCGGCCCCACCCCCTCGATGCCCATCTGCCAGCTCTATGGCACCACAGCATCCCCTCATGTTGGGGGTTTTCCTAGCCAATTTCCAGCCTCTTTATACCAGTGGGGCCCACTGACAGGAGCAGACTCTGCACGCAGTGTGTTTTGTTACTTGTTAGGCTGTTCAGAGACACAGGGCCTGATCCTGGCCTTGTTGGGGTCATTGACACCCATGCCAAGTGAGTTTAAATGAGGTGTACACTGTTTCCATTCTGCTCCAGCCTCTCACTCCCACCCACCCACTCTGCACAGGTCTCACTGACAGCAGCAGGGGTGGGGCAGAGCAGGGGGCAATCCACCCCCTTGGGGAAGCTACCCACAGGCAGTGAGGGTGGGCAGTGGAAGGCAGAGCCATATGGGTAACAGAGGGAAAAGAGAGGGAAGGAAAAGCCACCCCAGCTGCTGCTCAGAACAGGAGCCCCCAGGGACATCCCAGCTTCCCCACACTCAGCAATCCCATGATCCTGTAGTACATTTGCCCCACTCCGCCCATCCCCCAATTTGGGGCTCAGACTCAGGCATTGGGGGAGGGGGGCTGCCCTGCAGACTGGCAGGACTCACAGGTGCCCCAGCTGGGAAGGTGATGGCAAAGAGTGCCCAGGGGGTGTGAGAGTCCAGCCAGCGGGCAGCACAGATTGCAGCCCCAGGGCCCCACCACGAGCAATGGGAGATACTGCTCTAATGAGAGTTATAAAATCATTCCCCAATGGCCCAGGCTGGAGGATGGGCAGCCAGCCTGAGGCACACACCAGCCTGGGGCACACACCAGCCTGGGGCACACACCAGCCCACCAGCGATGGATCTCCCACACTCCATCTTACCTGGACAAAGCTGACAGTTTGCAGATGGTCCCTGCCATCCCCTGGGAGCTTGGGCTCCTGGAAGAAGGTTTCTATCACCTGGAGAGGGGGTGGAACTGCTCAGAGGCCTGTGCTTTGCTCACCAGCTCCCTAGAATTTGTGGCCTGGGGGCTTCTTCTGAAGCTGGGATCTGTCCTGCTTTCAGATAGCTGGGGGAGCTCCCCTCAATTTCAGGGTCTGTCGCATCTGTTCATGGAAGGGCGGGATTGGGCTTATGGGTGAGCTGAGAGCTCAGGGCCACCCCCTGCCACGTGAGCAGCAGCCTCCCCGGGCTGTCTCCCCCACCCCTGAGATGCCATAGCCAATGGATCCCTGGCTGCCAATTGACCCCCGGGACACTGTGTCCAATGGCTGTTCAGATTTCAGTGGGAGTGCGGGGGAAATTTAGTGGTGGCTAGGAGTCCCTTAGGACCTGGAAGCCCTTGGATTTTTGTGAATGGTAAAATGTAAATGTCAGTCTATTTCGGGATCCTTCGTTGTGGTTATTCGCTGCCGTTTGATTACACCCAAATTACCCACACCAATCCCCTCGCTTGGGTTGTTAGCAGGGTTTGACCCGTCAGAGCTAGAAGCATGAGCCACTACAGTTCGAGCTAAAGGAGCAGCTCCTCCAGTTAACAGCTTTAATAGGTTCTTATCCTCATGTGGAGCCGATGCTATGTGGGACCGAGACATGCTGAGCTAGGTGGGAGGCCAGACATTGTGCTAGGAGGTGACAGAGTGTTAGTAGATTGAGAAGTGCCTCATGTAGCAACAACCCCCATTGGTCTGGCAATGGGAGGCCAGGCATGTCCCAGGGTCCCACTGACACGCATTCACTGCCTCTCCCAGTCACTGACCCATTTTCTCTCCCTCTCTCTTGGATGATGCATGAGCTGCAGGCGCCTGTCTGGCTCCAGCACCCCCTGCCACCTTCCCCTGCTGTGACTCTGTGGGAGCCACAGGCTGGCTGAGCTACCCAGTCACTCTGCTCTGCTGGGGGAAGCTGGTGCTGGCTATGCCACTGCTTCCATCTGTCTGCCACGCGATAGGAAATGGGAAGGCAATGGTGCTGAGCGGCTTCCAGGCAGCAGTGGCCAGAGCACTGCAGAGCCAGCACAGTTCCAGGCCTGGGAAGCGGGGAGCAGGGACGGTGCCTTCCCCATGATAGAACCTCCTCCCCATACCCCACACTTTCTGCCCCTCTCACTGGCTTTCTCTCTGCATCAGAACTGCTACCACCTCCATGGAGCAGGGAACCACTGGGGCAGCCAGAGGGGGAGGGGGAGAACGTCTCTTCCTGCCTTGCTCTGATGCCCAGATCTGCCCTGCCAAACTACCTAAATGGTGCCCCTGGCTGCCCTCTGACCCGGGACACCACACCCAGCACACATATGTATATTCCTGTTTGCCCAGTTCAGTGCCAAGCCCCAGGCAGCCTACAAGGGTTGGAAGGTTCATGCCAGTGGGTGGAGTGGGTCATCCCAGCCCAGAGCATCCAAAGGGTTAAACCAGCCTGGTGAAAAGGAGACAGGACCCAGCAATAACCTCTGGGCTGCCCAGCCCACTGCACTCACCTGTTGGATGATGCTGTGGTGCTGCCCAGTGCCCTGAGGCTGCAGCTTGGTCCCGGCCTGATGGGCCTCCAACAGCAGCAGGGACACGCTGTAGCCAAGGGGCACCATGGCCAGCAGGGGTCTCACCAGCTCCGAGAACACCTCGTCCTGCAGAGAGAGCCAGGGGGAGCAACCCAGAACACAGCAACCCCAGGGGAGCTGCGGCAGATCTCGAACACAGGCCAGGGTGCTCTGCTCCAAGCACTGACCTCGGGGCCCCCGACCCCCAGCCTTCCTAGTGCAGGCAGCCCCACAGCCTCCTTTCCCCACCCCCACTGCTGGTGCTGGCCCCTGCTGAGGGCTTTGGGGCTGGGGCTGGTGGGGAGAGGTAGAGACCCCATTGAAATGTGCCCAGCCAAGCAAAACTACAGGCCATTTACCAGCTGGGCTGGGACGCTTTCAGCACCCCAAGCCCTGGGTCAGTCGGGCCCTGGAGAAGCAGACCAGGAATGGCACAGCCCCTGAAGGAGGCCTGGGACCCCAAAGGGGGCGTCTGCTGGGAGCAGGGGAGAGGGATAGGAGACCCCTGTGCAGCTTGAGTAAGAGTGGGAATGCCAAGGACAGAGCATCGCTGTGGGGGCAGGAGCAATGGTGAAATGCCCACAGGGACTGGGCTCGGGATTAGTCCCAAGGGGAGGGGAACCCCTGCTGCTTGGGCTATTTCCAAGTGCACTGGACCAAGCTCCACATTATCCCTGCATCTCAAGGTTCCCTCAGAGGCCTTAGGCTGATCAGGGGGGTCGTGACAAGCACCTTAGCAGCCATTCCTTGCCGCCCGTGTTTGGGGGGCCAGGATAATCCAGGGGACACGGCCGAGCTCTGGTGAGAGACATGGATCAGTTCTCAGGGCTTGGGGAGTCTAGGGCTCAGTCTGGCTCCTAGATCAGTCTCTGGGTGCTGCCTGCCCCTGAGTCTAAGGAGAGGGGTGCAGGCCCCAGGCCTTTCCCCTTCCCAGCACAGACATGCAGAACCCACCGTACCTGCCCCGTGTCCAGACTAAAGATGCCGTCGAACGTGAAGCAGCCCTCCTGGAAAGACACAGCAGCTGGGTTAGCGCTTAGCCCTTCCTGCCTCTCACCCAGCCCCAGCACCCCCAAGCCCGGAGCTCTCCCATCCCACAGGGACCTCTGGGCTGTATTTCATCCCCCCGGGCCGGGTGCAGGAGGAATTGTAGCGGCCAAGTTCCAGGGGTTGGCAGCGTTGCACTGCACCGCGGGAAGCAGTTCCACAGCTGGGGCCTTGGCACAATTCCTACCTGCCAGGGCAGGGGCTGAGCAGGCAGGAACCTGCTGCCCTTTGCTCCTGTGGGGCTGCGGGTGAGACGGACCCTGTCTGAGGGGAGCTAAGTGAGAGGGCTACGTGGGAGGGGCTGAGAGCTGCACCAAGCCAGGCCGTGAGAGAGTCCTGGGACTCAGCCCCCACCCCCCACCCCAATGGGTCAGGATTCCCTCAAGTCCCAAAGGCTGATTTGTAAGACAGCAGGTGTGCCCTGTGGGATGACTCTTGCTGCTTGAGGTGAGGCCTCTGTTGCTTCGTCCTGTGCCTGGCTGGAGGGGCCAGCCCAACACTGCCCCTGCATACAGCCATACTCCTGACACAGGCATTACATGAGCATCCCCACCTTCCCTCCTCACTCCAGCTTGGGGTGAGGACCCTGCCCCGGACACCACCCAATCCTACCTGAATGTCCTTGTCTGCCTTATCTACGAAAATCAGCCGGCTGGAGTCTTCATTCACGACCCGGAAACTCTCCTGCTTCCCCGAGCCTGAAACGCCAAGTGAAGGGACAGGTCAGGCCATTTACACACAGTCCGGGGGGCCAGGGGCACGAACACAGGATCAGGGATGTGATCAAGAAATAAACTATGGGAGACCCTCCTCCCTGGGGCCTGATCCTCTCCAGTTGGTCCACAGGGGCCACTCCCCTGGAACCAGCTGCAGTGAGGACTGGGATGTGCCACCCCACACAATACCTGCAGACTGGATCTCCTGGGCCTGGCAGCATCACCTGTGGCACACATGGAAGGCCTAGACAGCAGGGACATGAAGCCACACACCAGATGGGAATGGGCCAGGAAACAGGAGCGAGAGCAGAGTGACCTGACCCAACCTGCCATTCCCCAGGCACTGGGACTTTGGCGCACATGTGCCCATGAGTCTTTCACCTGTTGAGCCCAGGCTGACCTCCATCCCCTTCCCAATTCCCCTTCGCAGGGAGCATTGGCCTCCTCCTGGTCCCCGCTGGGGAGCCGCAGCTCTTTGGGTTTAATCTCAGCTCATCCTCTCCTCGGGCTGGTCCTGCAGCCAGGGAAGGGCTGGGGTGAGGAAGGTCACTGAGCCCTGCTGCTGCTGGCCCTGCCCAGCTGGTTTCCTGCAGTGGTGTAAACATGAGCTGGCTTTGCTGCTGGCTCAGGCACAGAGGAGAGGCCTGAACACTGGCTGCTAAAGGAAATGAGATCCCGGCTGGCTGCAGCATGCTGGGTGTAACCGTCCCCGGGTTCCTGTTGCGCTGGGGGACCAGACGCTCCTGTCAGCAGTTCCCCTTTGCTGTGAACTGACAAAACTGCTTCCAAGTTCTGGCCTGAGCTTCCTGCACCTCCCCCATGGAGCCTGAGCCTGGCCAGCCCTTCACTCCGAGCCCCAGGCTGAGGAGAGGTGGGGTGCAGCCTCCCGAGTACCCTGCTGCCTCCACTCTCGCTCCACTTTAGGCACTAGTGGCTCAGAGAGCAAAGGGATGTTGTGTCCTCATTCTGCAGTGCCCCCCAGAGCCAGCTCGCCCACTTCTCCCCAGGCCCATCTCCTTCCTCCCCCTGTGCCCCCTTCATCATGTCCCGCTCCAGCTAACTCTGCATCTCCCTGTGGCTGCTCTTCGTGCCTAGCTGCCTTATTGCCATTGTCACCATGGGGGCCTGGCCATGCCAGCTGGACACAGACCCCAGCTCCTTTCACAGCAGCAGCGGATGGGCTTGGCTTTTGGGTCCAGCTCCACAGAGAGATTTACCTGCTTCTCTCCCGTTGATTTCAAGGGCAGTTAGGTGCTTAACTGGGCCTACCAGGCTGGGCTGGATTTGAACCAGTCATCGGCTTCCCAGACCACTCCCCACTCCCACGCAGGAGCCAATCCCCTGACAAGACTACACAAAGGGGCCTGATGAATTGTAGACACTCATGCCCTAGACTCCCCCTGCTGCTGGCTGCACAGGGCACTATACCTGCTGCGCGTCGGAGTCCCACTGCTGCTCGCACATATGCCTCCTGCTTGGCCTGGAAGAAAGCACACCATAGAGAGGTAAGGGCTTCTGCCCCAGGCCCAGCACTTCCAGGAGCAGACTGCTAGGGAACTGAAGGAGAAGCACAGGGTGAAGCCAGTTCCCTGGCTCCTAGTGCACCAGCCAGTTCCAGAGAGCACCTGGCTCCCGCTCACCACCAGCCCAAGAGGAGCTGGAAGCAACAGATCAGGTGTCAAAGCTGGACAAAAGGGACAGAAACAGGACAATGTGCAATGAGGGAGCCGCCTCTCCCAGACCTCCCCACTCTGGGTCCCTCAGCTAACCCCAGCAGCACTCACCTGCCCAGCGTCCATAGCCAACACTCTACTGCACTCTCCAGATGGTGAGCATCTTTTTCACGGAAGGGCGGGGGGACAGGGAGATGAAGTTACCATGCATTTTTAATCTGTCTGGCTAGCCTGTCCTGATGCTCCTCAGGGGAGCAGAGGTAGGTGTAGGCTGCAGGTGGGGGGAGGGGTCTGCGCCAGTTGAACACAAGCAGCAGGTGTGGACAGAGCTGGGGAGAGCAGCGCCCCAGCTTCAAGGGCAGAGCTGGGGTTGCGGGCACAAGGGCGGTTCCTTCAATGCCTCCCCCGCAGCACTCGGACAGCTGAAGTCATCTGCTTGTATGGCTGCAGCACCGTCAATAGGGCAACAGCAGAGCAATCTTCTCCCACACTGGCCCCCGGAGGTGCCTCAAACCAGCCCTGCGGGGCAACTTCTAGGGCTGAGAGGGGACTTCAGACTTCACAGCTCATTTCAGTGCTTGGCCCCTGCTGTGACAGCCAACAGGCGGCCAGTAACAACAGGCATCTCTCCATTGGCACCCCCAACCCCTTTCACATTCCTCTGGCCCCATGCAATGACTTCTGGTCACTACCGAACTGGGCTGGATTCAAACTGATGGCTTAAATGTGAAAGTCTCTGGAGAAACCTCATCGTCTCCAAACCTCATTAATTAATGACCCACCCTCCTTTTTATTTTTACTGTTATTCATTTGCCTCACTAGAGTGTCCTGGGTCCCCAGCCCTGGATCAGCACTCCACCATGCTAGACACTGTACAAACTGTACCAAAGAGATAGTCTTGCCTGGAAGAGTTTACAATCTAAACAAGAGACAGACTATGCTCTAGCAAATCCCCTCTGCACACCCTGAGCAGCTCCTCCAAGGATCATAGCATCAGTTGCATTCCATTAGTTTGTTGCTCCTAGGAAAGCCCCCTGAAACACATACCTCCCTTGTCTGAGTGTCCTGGGGTCTCACAGCAACCATGTGACCTTACTTGAGTGCCCTTCAGTATAACACCAAAAATAAACCACAAATACTTGGCTCTGTAACAGCAGAGCACAGCCCAGAGCAGGGCCCATGGCTACAGATGCTAATGAGCATTAATAAATCAATGATCAGGAAATACTTCATTTTAAAAGAATTGATGATCACCAGACATAGAATCATAGGACTGGAAGGGACCTCGAGAGGTCATCTAGTCCAGTCCCCTGCACTCATGACAGGACTAATTATCTAGACCAGGGGTGGGCAAATTATGGCCTGCAGGCTGGATCTGGCCCCTCAGGGCTTTGGATCCGGCCTGCGGGATTGCCCCCCGTGGCACTGTGGGCCCCACGCCGCTCTCAGAAGCGGCCGGCACCAGGTCCCTGCAGCCCCCGGGCGGAGTGGCAGAGGGCTCCATGTGTTGCCCTGAGCCCCCTCATACACCCCGCACCCCTCCTGCATCCCAACCCCTTGCCCTGAGCCCCCTGCCGCACCCCGCACCCCTCCTGCATCCCAACCCCCTTCCCTGAGCCCCCTCATACACCATGCACCCGTCCTCTGCCCCAATCCCTTGCCCTGAGCCCCTTCCTGCACACCGCACCCCTCCCACACTCCACACTCCCTCCCGCACCCCAACCCCCTGCCCTGGCCCTGCATACAATTTCCGCACCCAGATGTGGCCCTCGGCCCAAAAAGTTTGCCCAGCCCTGATCTAGACCATTCCTGACAGGTGTTTGTGTAACCTTAGGGTTAGGGTTAGGGGTCTTAAAAATCTCCAATGATGGAGATTCCACAATCTGCCTAGGCAATTTATTCCAGTGCTTAACCATGCTGACAGTTAGGAAGTTTTTCCTAATGTTCAACCTAAACCTCCCTTGCTACAATTTAAGCCCATTGCATCTTGTCCTATCCTCAGAGGTTAAGAAAAACAATTTTTCTTCCTCCTCCTTGTACCTTTTACATACTTGAAAACTGTTATCATGTCAATCTCAGTCCAAGTGTATACATTTTAATATATAAGGCAACACCTCCTCCCTTTTTTCCCTGCCAATCCTTCCTGAGCAAGCTGTACCCTTCTATACCAATATTCCAGTCGTGTATTATCCCACCAGGTCTCTATGATGCCAACTATGTCATAGTTGTGTTTATTTACTAGCATTTCGAGTGCTTCCTGCTTATTTCCCTTATTCCACATGCTAGATGGTGTCCTCCTTCTAGATGATGTTACAGTATCCTCTCACACTGAGGATACCACTCAATTGGGAGGGAACCCCTGTTATTAGGAAGAGACAGGTAATAATAGTGGGGGATTCAATTATTAGAAATATAGATAGTTGGGTTTGTGATGACTAGGAGAACTGCATAGTGCCCAGGAGATGACCAGGAGAAGCCTGTCAGGTGCGAAGGTTGTGGACCTCTTGAGACATCAAAATAAACTTGTTTGCAGTGCTGGGGAGAAGCTGGTGGTTGGGGTACATGTAGGTACCAGTGACATAGGGAAACGTAGGAGAGAGGTCCTGGAGGCTAAATTCAGACTGATAGGTAAGAGATTAAAGTCCAGGACCTCCACGGCAGCATTCTCTGAAATGCTTCCAGTTCCACATCTAGAGGCAGTTAGACAAGCAGAACTGCAGAGAGGAACTCAATAGGTGGATGAGATGATGGTGTTGGGAGGAGGAATTTAGGTTTATTAGGAACTGGGGAATCTTTTGTGAAAGGAGGAGCTCAGACAGGAAGGATGGGCTCCACCTAAACCAAAATGGAACCAGATTGCTGGCATGTTTTTAAATTAAGGGCTGGGGGGAAGCTGACAAGTGAGAAGGAGCACACATTTCGGACAGAGACATCTCTTACAGGAGGGTTTATTAAAGGGGATACTCTATATCCTAGTCATGAGGAGAGGATAGAAGTAGATAAAGTACAGGAAGAAACTGAAGAGTAACAGTCAAATGAAAAGGAGTCCCATTCAATTACATCACAGGAAGGCAGACAACTAAATACTGATAAATTTTATAAGTGCTTGTTTACAAATGCAAGGCGTCTAAATACTAAACTGGGTGAACTTTAGTGCCTGGTATTAAATGAGGATATTGATATAGTAGGCATGACAGAAACTTGGTGGAATGATGATAACCAATGGGACACCATAAAACTTACTGGAAAAATAGAGTAGTGATGCTGGGGGAATGGCACTGTATGTGGAAGAAAGCATAAAGTCAAATAAAGTAAAAATCTTAAATGAATCAAACTGTACCACAGCATCTCTATGGATAGAAATTCCAAGCTTCAATAATAAGAATATAGCAGTAGGGATATACTACCGATCACCTGACCAGGATGGTGATAGTGACTGTGAAATGCTCAGGGAGATTAGAGAGGCTACAAAAACAGAATACCCAATAATAATGGGGGATTTCAACTATCCCCATATTGACCTGGTAGATGTCACCTCAGGATGGGATGCAGAGATAACATTTCTAGACACCATTAATGACTGCTTCTTGGAGCAGCTAGTCCTGGAACCCACAAAGGGAGAGACAATTCTTAATTTAATCCTACATGGAGCACAGGATCTGGTCCAAGAACTGCTTGGTATTAGAGACTATAATGTAATTAAATTTAACATCCTTGTAGGGAGGGAAATACCAAAGAAACCCATGACAGTAGCTTTTAACTTCAAAAAGGAGAACTACACAAAAATGAGGAAACTAATTAAATGGAAATTAAAAGGAACAGTCACAAGAGTGAAATGCCTTAAAAGCTGCATGGAAATTATTTAAAAACACCATAATAGAGGCTCAGACTAAATATATCCCCTGCCACCTAAATAAACAGTAAGAGGGCCAAAAAGATCCATCATGGCTAAAGAGCAGAGTAAAAGAGACAGTTAGACAAAAAGGCATCCTTTAAAAACTGGATGTCAAACCCTACCGAGAAAAATAGAAAGG